GTGGGCAGGACCAGGCCGCAGTGTCCCGCCTCACCCAGGACCTGCAGGGAGCGCTCCAGGTGGGTTCCTTTACCTCGGCTTCCCGCTCCCGTCCCACCAGCCTCCCTGCCTCCTCCAGACCCCGCCGTCCACGCGTACTCCCTGTTAGTGACTTTTCTCCCTGTTCAGGATTACGAGCTGCAGGCGGATACCTACCGCTGCTCCCTGGAGCCCACCCTGGCAGTGTCAGCCCCTAAGAGACTCCGAGTGGTTTCCCTGCTGGAGAGCATCCAGGCTCAGGTGAGGCGGGGCTGAGGGTCTTCCAGCTGCAGCTCTACGGCTCGGCTCCTGGGGCTGGAGCTGACTCTGCTGTCCCTGTCCTCGCTTTGCCCCCAGGAGAAGAACCTTGCCAAGGCTTACACTGAGGTCACTGCAGCCGAGCAGCAGCAGCTGCACCAGCTGGAGTTTGCTAAAAAGATGCTGGAGAAGGTACAGAGGGCAGTAGCCACCTGCGGTCACAACAGCCAACCTGGCCCGGTGTTGGCCGGGATGTCATCCTTCCTTCCCAGCAGCCTCAGCCCCCGGACAGGCCTGGTCATGAAGCTTTCTCCAGAGGTTCATACAGGCTTGTGACTATTCCAGGCAGGCACTCGAATTGCCTCTGATGGGGACATGTCCTTTAGTCCCAGAGAGCCAAGAAACACCCCCTAGTCATCAGCCTTAGGACGCAGTCACGCTGGCAATAGGCCACTGAGGTAGAGCAGAAGCCAGGAGCTCTCTATGGCTCCTGTAGCTTGCCAGCTTTTCCTGAGCCACATTTCAGCATCTCCTGGAGAAGGCTGGGCCCAAGAGTGGTGGGGCGGGGCACTTGGAAGGACCCTGTGTGCACTATCTACTGCAGGCCTGGCCTGGACCCCGCCCTGTGCTCCAACAGCATCTAACTGAGCTTCTCAAAGTCCGGTGTCCAAGCACCCCGAGTCTTCAGCCCCACTGCCCAGGAGCTACCAGGAGGTCTCAGAAAGCAGGGAGGGATCTCCGACCTCCTCTGCAGGGGTAGGGGGGGTGCAGAAAAACAGGGCTCCAGTCTCTGCTCACCCCAGGACTGTCTCTCTCTCCTGTCACTGCAGAAGGAGCTTAACGAAGACATCCAAGCCATCCACAGCACAACCCAGGGATCTGGGAGGCTGGCCCACATAGGGCCGGAGGAGTCTGAGGTCCTGAAGACCCAGCTAGGGGAAGAGAGGAAGCGGGTGGCCGAGGTGCAGCGGGAGCTGGAGGAGCAGAGGCGGCAGCTGCTGCAGCTTAGGACCCAGGAGCCCGTGGCGAGGCTGGAGGAGAAGGAAGTGGTGCAGTTCTACCGGGACCCCCAGCTAGAAAGAGGCGTGCGGCAGGTGTCATCCCAGGTGGAGGAGGAGGGCAAGAGGCGTGCCCGCCTACAGGCCGAGCTAGAGATGGCGGCCCAGAAGGTCAGCCACCTGGAGGGCAAGAGGAAGACCGTGCAGCCTCACCTGCTGACCAAAGAGGTCACCCAGATTGAGAGGGACCCTGGCCTGGAGAGCCAGGCCACCCAGCTGCGCAATGAGCTGCAGCGGCTGCGCGGGGAGAACGGCGGCCTCGCCAACCGGCTGGAGGAGCTGAAGGAAGAACTGCTGGCCCTGGAGCGGAAGGAGGCGAGCGTGAAGGAGAAGGTAGTGGTGAAGGAGGTGGTCAAGGTGGAGAAGGATCTGGAAATGGTGAAGGCGGCCCAGACTCTTCGCCTACAGATCGAGGAAGACGCTGCACGGAGGAAGGGGGCAAAGGAGGCAGCCGCCAAGATACAGGCTCGCATCAAAGACCTGGAGCGGATGATCAGCTCCGTGGAGCCCAAGGTCATTGTGAAGGAGGTGAAGAGGGTGGAGCAGGACCCTGGCCTTCTCAAGGAAGCCTCCCGGCTGAGAAGCCTCCTGGAGGAGGAGAAGAACAGGAACGTCACCTTGGCCAGGGAACTGGAGGACCTTCAGGACAAGTACAGGGTGGTGGAGAAGCAGAAGCCCAAGGTGCAGCTGCAGGAGAGCGTGCACGAGGTCTTCCAGGTGCACCCCGAGACGGAGCGAGAGATTGCTCGGCTCCAGGCCCAGCTGCAGGAGATGGGCAGCCGGAGGGGCGGCGTGGAACAGGAGGTGGAGAAGCTGCTGGCCGAGCTGGAGGTCCTGCGGGCCCAGAAGCCGGTGGTGGAGTACAAGGAGGTGACCCAGGAGGTGGTGAGGCATGAGCAGAGCCCCGAGGTGCTCCGGGAGACCGACCGGCTCAAGGCTCAGCTCAACGAGCTGGTCAACACCAGCGGGCGCTGCCAGGAGCAGCTCATCCGGCTGCAGGGGGAACGTGATGAGTGGAGGCGGGAAAGGGCCAAGGTGGAGACCAAGACGGTGAGCAAGGAAGTCGTGAGGCACGAAAAGGATCCGGTGCTGGAGAAGGAGGCGGAGCGGCTCCGGCAGGAGGTGCGGGAGGCTGTCCAGAGGAGGAGAGCAGCCGAGGACACTGTCTTTGAGCTACGGAACAGGTACCTGCTGCTGGAGAGGAGGCGTCCCGAGGAGCAGATTGTGGTGCAGGAGGTCGTGGTCACCCAGAAGGACCCAAAGCTGCACGAGGAGCACAGCAGGCTGAACCGGAGCTTGGACGAGGAGGCGGGGCGGCGGCGGCAGCTGGAGCTGGAGGTGCGGCAGCTGAGGGCCAGCGTGGAGGAGCTGGAGGCCACGCTCAGCTTCGAGGAGGACCGCAGCAGGAAGCTGGCTGCCGAGAGGGAGCTCCGGCAGCTGACTCTGAAGATCCAGGAGCTGGAGAAGCGGCCCCCTGCCCTGCAGGAGAAGATCATCTTGGAGGAAGTGGTCAAGTTGGAGAAGGATCCGGACCTGGAGAGGTCTACGGAAGCCCTGAGGCGAGAGCTGGACCAGGAGAAGGGCCGGGTGATGGAGCTGCACCAGGAGTGCCAGGGCCTGCAGGTCCAGCTCGACCTCCTTCAGGAGGCCAAGTCGCAGGAGAAGACTATCTACAAGGAGGTGATCAGGGTGGAGAAGGACCCCGTCCTGGAGGGCGAGAGGGCCCGAGTGTGGGAGACCCTGAGTCGGGAGCGGGCGGCCCGCCAGGCCCGGGAGGAGGAGGTCCGGAGCTTGCAGGAGCGGATTGACCGGGCTGAGGCTCTGAGGAGGTCCTGGGCCCGTGAGGAAGCTGAGCTCCAGAAGGCCCGGGACCAGGCAAGCCAGGACCTCAGCCGGGTGCAGCAAGAGCTCCGAGGGCTGGAGCAGCAGAAGCAGCAGAGAGCCCAGCAGCTCCAGGAGGAGGGCAGGCTGCTCAGCCAGAAGACAGAGGACGAGCGCCAGAAGGCAGCCCAGCGCGGCCAGGCCGTCTCACAACTGGAGGCGGCCATTCTCCACGAGAAGGACAAGATCTACGAGAAGGAGAGGACCCTCAGGGACCTGCACACCAGGGTGAGCCGGGAGGAGCTCAGCCAGGAAACCCAGACGCGGGAGACCAACCTTTCCACCAAGATCTGCATCCTGGAGCCGGAGACTGGGAACGACATGTCTCCCTACGAGGCCTACAAGAGGGGGGTCATCGAGAGGGACCAGTACCTCAAGCTGCAGGCGCTCGAGTGTGACTGGGAGGAGATCACCACCTCGGGCCCCTGCGGGGAGGAGTCGGTGCTCCTGGACCGCAAGAGCGGGAAGCAGTACTCCATCGAGGCCGCCCTCCGCTGCCTCCGCATCTCCAAGGAGGAGTACCACAGGTACAGGGACGGCCGGCTCCCCATCTCCGAGTTTGCGCTGCTCGTGGCGGGGGAGGCCAAGCCCAGTGCCTCACTCTCCATCGGGTCCATCATCACCAAGTCCCCACGCTGCTCCCCAGGCCCCCAGAGTGGCGGGTTCTGCTCCCCAGCCTTCTCTTTTGGGCCCACCGACGACTGCTTCCCCATCGCCGGGGTTTACGACACAAGCACCGGCAGCAAGTGCAGCGTCAAGGCGGCCGTGGCCAAGAGCATGCTGGACCCCATCACCGGGCAGAAGCTGTTGGAGGCCCAGGCGGCCACCGGGGGCATTGTGGACCTCCTCAGCCGGGAGCGGTACTCCGTGCACAAGGCGCTGGAGCGGGGGCTCGTGGAGGACACCGCCACGCAACGGCTGCTCAATGCCCAGAAGGCCTTCACCGGCATCGAGGACCCGGTCAGCAAGAAGAGGCTGTCGGTGGGTGAGGCCGTCCAGAAGGGCTGGATGCCCCAAGAGAGCGTGCTTCCCCACCTGCTGGCGCAGCACCTCACCGGCGGCCTCATCGACCCCAAGAGGACGGGGCGCACCCCCGTCCCTCAGGCCGTGCTCTGCGGCATGATCAGCGCAGACCTGGGCCGGCTCCTGCAAGATGAGTCCGGCTACGAGAGGGATCTGACAGACCCCATCACCAAGGAGCGGCTGAGCTACAAGGAGGCCATGGCGCGCTGCCGCAGGGACCCCCTGAGCGGCCTGCTGCTCCTGCCAGCCGCGCTGGAAGGCTACCGCTGCTACCGCGCGGCCTCCCCGACCCTGCCGCGCTCCTGCGTGCGTTGACGTGGCAAGGCCGAGGGGCAGGGAGGAGGCCTACACGCCTCGCCCTGGAGCGGCATAATTCCAGGCCGTGGGTCCTCCCTCTGTCCATCTATCCCTTACTACCCAATCGTTTGTGGTGTTGGGCTCTGTCCCCAAGCTTGAGGCGCTCCATTGTTCCTCCCTCCCCCCACCCCACGCTTCTAATAAATGAATTATCTTGGTGCTGTGTGTTCTCAGTGTGTCTGGGATGTTGAGGCCAGAAGTGCCATGGCTTGGGAATTTTTCCCCAAAGTGGACATGCCCAACTCACCTGCCCGACAAACGGGTGGTCATGAAACAAGACCATGGAAGACCCCTCCCCCCCACCCTCAGCCCCTGTCAAAACTGTCTCCAACCCTCTGTCAACCTTCCCTTTGTTGGTAGGCTGTGTCCCCTATATGCAGAATGACTGCAGAAAACTCAGGAACAAGTTACATTTATTTTCCATTTGTCACACAGACGGACATCAACAGCTTATCTTTGATGATGTGACAACTTAGAACACCCTCAGGTGCCCTGCCCACTCCTAGGATCTGAGAACCACCCTCCCCCACCTCCTGTTTAACTATGTCCTCCCAACTGGAACTCAACTCTTCCAGCACTTAAACCTAAATCAAGACCAGCAGAGGGCACCCTCTCCTTGGGGCCTGGCTCCGCAGCTAGGCAGTGAGGGAGGAGGGCTGGGGTCTCTTAGCCTGACAAGAGCTGTCCCGGTGCCAGGGGAGGTATGTGCGGCACCACACCCCACCCCCAAGCCTGGAGCACCCACATGCCTTTTGCAAATGCACTGTTAAATCCAACAAACAACACAGGAACTCTCCAACCTGCCGGCAAGACGAAGGTGAGCCCAGCCCTCTGGTGGCTGCTGTAAGATCTCTGAGCTGTATTCTCAGATGCATTTTCTTAAATGGGGAGAGGGGGGACAGGTGGACAGGGGGTGAGGGGTGGGCCCCACATAAATGCTCTCAGTGGTGGCAATGCTCCACCATGCAATGACAGGGAGCTGGGGAGTGCTCAGTAGAGAAGTAGGGATGAGCCAGGGCGGTCTTGGCCGAGATCCGCTGACTGGGGTCATACTGCAGGAGTTTCTGGGGAGAAAAGACAAGAGATTGGACCTGGGTGAAACCAGGGTAGGGAGAGAAATTCCCTTCAACAGGGAGAGCCGAGTTTCTGAGAAGTGACCCCACCGTAGAATTTTGTGAAGCCAGTGCCCTTTAGCTGTCTGTGTGTCTCTCTGCCTGTCTGTGTGTCTACGCACGTGGGTTATGGAGGCCAGACACATCGAGGCTCCTGGAACTGGAGCTGGGTGTCTATGTGACGCCTGGTGTGGGTGCTGGGAACTGAACTCTGTAAGAGCAGCCATCTCCCGAGCCCCAATGCAGGGTCTCTTGGTTTGCCTGCATAAGCCAGGCTAGCTGGCTCGTGAGTGCCAGGGGTTCCCGTCCCAGGCCCCCAGCTTGCACCAGGAACAGTGGGGTTATAGGTTCCTGCTACTGTGTCCTGCTTTAGGCACTCAAGAGCTTCCCCCAGGGAGCCAGCCAAGCCCTCACCCTGGCCTACTCCAGCTTTGCGTGGTTCTGGAGATGGGAAGTGAGGTCCTTATGTTTGCATAGCAAGCACTTTACCAACTGAACCGTCTTCTTAGCTCATGTGTCCCAGCCTTTAGGCCAGGTCTGGACACCCCCAGAGCTGAGATTAAACCATTAGTTTTGATTCCAGGCCTATGGCTCCTCCGGGTCCCACCTACTCCTGGTTGAGAACAGGTATGGTTCATGTTAGGCAGCAGTCCCTAACCCCGTCCAAAGAGTGTGCGTTTGGGGTAGAGCAGGACAGACCTCGAGCAAGGGAAGAAGGAGCTGACACAGCCAGAGGCCAGGTGTGTCCTGCTCCCTGCCCTCAGTACATAACCCACGCAGGATGCCACGGATAGCACATGAAGGGCAGGGCTCTTGGCAGGAAGTGCATGCCATCCTGCTGGCACTAGGTTGGTAGACAACACACACAGGCTTCTGGTAAGCTGACCGTGGGATGGACACCCTGTCCTTCCTTCCCTGGCCCAGGGTAAAGACAGACATGGAGACTGCAGGCTTATGGGCAAACAGTTGACTCTGTTTGCTGCCCAGGGGGCAGCTGAGGGATCATAAGCACAGCCAGTCCTCTGCAAAGACTAGGCTCTGAGAGAGAAACTATGGAGGACAGTGAGGCAGGAGGAGGGTGGCCTCTGCCCAGGGAAGAGCCCCGGCTAGGTGGTGCACAAAGCCCACAAGGCAGAGTCAGACACAGACAGCTAGGAAAAAGGGACAGCAAGCCACTGCGCACAGACAAAGCTAACTCCTTCAGAGAAGTTTCAAAAGGGAAGACGAACATTGGGTTTATGGGAGGCTCCTACCGAACACATACAAGGACCAGCCAAGTGTGTACAAAGGCCAGGAGAGGCCCAGTCTAGTCGAATTATATAACAGGTGGCTGAAACAGGGGATGCTCCGAGGCAGCAGTTGCTGCTGGGGTGCGTTCCTTGCCCACTGGGACCTACCAGGAGCAGGTCCTTGCCTTCCGGTCCCAGGCTAGGTACGATCTTGTCCAGCCCCTTCCTGCTCCATTTGGGGAAGGTGCTCTTATAGTCAGGCAGCTGGGAGACTCCCGGCCACGTGGCTTCACTGGGGGTCCCCAGCGTGCGAAAGATCCGGAAGAGCTGGTCGATCTCTGAGTCTCCCGGAAACAGGGCTTTGCCGGTCACCTGGAGCGGGGGAGAAGTGTGTGTCCTGTAGGACACTTGTGATGGCACAGAACCCCATGGAAAAGTGGCAAGACGGGGAAAAGGGACGTTTTCACAAGATGGGTGTGGTGTCACACACCTTTAGTCCCGGGCTAGGGAGGGAAAGGCAGGTGGATCTCTATGAGTTTGAGGCCAGCCTGGTCTACATTACACAGTGAAGCCTTGTCTTAAAATAAATGAAAAAGGCATCTTTATCAGGGCTATGTTAAAATTCTGATCTTTTCCGAAACAAGACTCACTTCCCCAGCCACACCCTCCCCCTTCAACACACCTCTCCTAGGAGTATTAAACACAGTGGGCTCCTAGCTGCCCTGGTTCTATGTAGCCCAGGCTAGCCTTGAACTATAGGAAATCTCCTGCCTCAGCATGCCCAGTTCCCCCTTAACTCCTGTATTTTGTTTTGTTTTTTGGTTTGCTTTTAATATTAGGCAACTGCTCAAGCACTGAGCTGCATTCTTAGCCCTTGTTTTCCGAGTGCTAGAACGACACACATGTGCTACAATGCCCAGATCAAATTATTTGTTGGTTTAAATTTATTTTTTGTTTTACATTTATTGATTTATGTTGGATGTGTGTGAGAGGGACAGACAAACACACACACACAGAGCACATGCGTCACGGAGCATGTGTGGCCGTCAGAGGACAACTTTGGTTCTCACCTTCCACCACGAGGGTTCCAGGGATCAATGTCAGGCTGTCAGGCTGGGCAGCAAGTGCTTTTACCCTCTAAGCCATCCCTCCCAAACCAGCTCAAGGCCTTTTGTTTTGTTTTGTTTTCTGTCTAGGCCTTGGGAACTGAAGCTGTGGCCTTCCCCAGCTCAGGTGATCACTCTACCACTGACACTCACCCACCCACCCACCCACCCACACCCACACCCACACCCACACCCACACCCACACACAGCCCGTCTGTCCCTCCCTACCATCTCTGCAAAGATGCAGCCGACGCTCCAGATGTCCACGGCTGTTGAATAAAACTTGCTGCCCAAGAGGATCTCGGGGGCACGGTACCACAGTGTCACCACCTGTGGGGACGAGAGGCGGCACCATCCGTGGCGGCTGAGTCCACTGGGGGCACCATCTGGCTGTCCCTCATCCCCTGCCCTGCCCTACCTCGTGGGTGTAGGTGCGCAGGGGGACCCCGAAGGCCCGGGCCAGTCCAAAGTCAGCCAGCTTGATGGCTCCGAACTCATTGATGAGCAGATTCTGAGGCTTCAGGTCCCTGTGGATGACCCGGTGGGAGTGGCAGAAATTCACCCCTTGCAGTAGCTGGGAGAGGTAGCTCTGTGGGGACCACCGAGAGAAAGAGCTGTGATGTGGAGGGAGGGTGGCAGCCACGTGTGGGTGTGGCCTGCCCTCCCGAGCTCCCCTGGGCACCTTGACTACAGGCAGAGGGAGCTCTGGGGTGGCGGTGGACTCCATGTGCTTCTTCAGGTCCTGGGAGAGGAACTCGAACACCAGGTAGAGCTTCTTCTCTCTGTGGATCACCTCCAGCAGTCTGGCAGGGAGGGCTCAGTCTCAGGACATGGCATTTAGGATCCCAACCCCCCCCCAACACTTCCTTTCCCAGCTCACTTGACAATATTGGGGTGCTTCAGTTCTTTCAGCAAGGAGATCTCCCTGATGGCAGTGCTGGGAACCCCCTCAGTCTCCCTGTAGGAAAAGACAAAAGGGCAACGGGCCAAGGAGTCACTTCTGGCCCGGGTATGTGTCTGTGTGTTTCACTGCTGGGTTCCCCTTTTCTCCACAGAAGGCCTGTCCAAGAGTGGGACTTTTACACCCACCAAGCTCTGAAGAACTGGACCCAGACAGGACAAAAGTCATTCAGACGGCAGGGAGGAGGGGCTACATCTTTGTGGCTACCCTAGAGCTTGGGTGTAAGCCCCTGAGACAATGACAGGTTTGGGAATTCTCCTGGGGGTCAGACGGGGTATTGGGGAGAGTCCCAACACTCACAGGTCCAGCCTGATCTTCTTGAGGGCCACAAGCTGCCCAGTCACTTTGTTCTTGGCCTTATAGACCACGCCATAGGTGCCCTCTCCAATCTTCTCGATCTTCTGGAACGCATCCATGTCTGTAGAGCTGTGCTGGAAACAGACCGCACCTGCAGTTAAACCCACAGGAAGAATCCCCTCTGCCGGACTCCAGGCTGCACGCAGCTCTCCCAGGCCCGGCTCTCCCCGGCCCGGCTCTCCCCATGCACTGCCTGCTACCCATATTGCTTGGGAAGATGGCTCAAGCCTGGGGGTTGCTTCTTGCCCAGCTCACCCCAACCCAGAAGCCAGGCTTCTTCTCCATTGCCTGGCTACAGAATACAGGAGGGCCCAAACTTCTGCCTCAGCCCATGCCTCAGTCCAGGCAAACCCGTACCCTGGGGCCACAAGAATCTACCTAGAAACACTGTACAGGGGAGGGTGACAGCATGAGGCAGAGGTTAGGAGGCTCCTGAAGCCACAATCCTGCCCTGGGTCACACATGAGGAGCCAGGGACTCAGCTTTCCCCATTTGGTGATTTTTAGCCTTCACTGAGGTCAGAACCTCAGCAAGAGGAACCACTCTGAGTCCTGGGCCCCCCAGTTCTGACCCTGGTCCCCTACCTCAGCCTCCTAGCCCAGAATTCACCAGAAGCTCCCAGCAGGCTGCAGCTTCTCTGTCAGGCAAGTTGTCTGCTTTCGGCGCCCCCTGCTGGCTGCAGCCGGCTCTGCATCAGTACACACACTATAGGCTCATACTCTTTATTCATATTCAGGAGGACATTCAGGAACCCTTCATGTCCCTCACAAGCCACAGCTCCAGGGCTCTGGGGTGGGATAGCAGATACTTTTTTTTTTTTTCTGAGAGAGAGGAAGGTTCTAATATCTCAGATTGACTTTAAACTCTAGATTCTCCTGACTCTACCTCCTTAGCACTGTGATTACTGGCACGGGACACCATGGCCAGCTTGGGGTATGCTTTCATTAACAGGTCAGTCCAGAGTTTGGGGAAGGGGCTCCCTGCCCCCTGCTCTCTGGTTCTAGATGAAGGCTGTCATTGGGAGGAGCCTCTCCCGTCTGGAGGTGATGAGGAGCAGGTGGAGGGCTTGTAAAGTCTTCTCTTGGTTGCTGCCTCTTTTGCAAGTGGAGCCTCTGTTCCAAGATGGCTTTTTCCAACAAGGACAGATCCATGCCCTCCACACAGGTGAGCAGACGGGCCTTTATCACAGAACCTCCATCTGAAAGACAGACACTGAGACATTAGCAGCGACTCCTTAGAGCGTCTTTGACTCTCCACAGATGCTTCTGGGTGTTCCCAGACTTGTTCACTCCTGAGGCACTAAGAAAGCGGGCAATCTGTCTCCAGGAGGCTCAGGACCTGGGCCTGTGTCCTGCCGGGAGCAGGAAGCTGACCTCCATATCCCACCTCTGCTAGTATGCCATTGCCTTCCAAAAGCCCAGGGCTGAGGAAATACTCTCTGTCGTCAGGGAAAGCCCTCCTTGGCACTCTGGGATCAGTGCCATTGAAAACTGGAGTAAAGAGCCCAGCATGGGTGATGCACACCTGTAATCCCAGCACTCTGGGAGGCAAAGGCAGGTGGATCTCTGTGAGTTTGAGGTCAGCCTGGTCTACAAAGCGAGTCTAGGACAGCCAGGGCTACAGAGAGGAACCCTGTCTCGGAAAACAAAAACAATAAAGAAAGAAAAAAGAAAGGAAAAAAGAGAAAAGAAAACCTTTCCCTTTAAGTTCTCACTGCTTCCCAGGAACTTCAAGTCACCCATGAAAAATGGCCTTCTTTGAGCCTCAGTTTCGTGGAGCCAAGTTGCAGAGATGAAGTTGCTTCCAGAGGCCTCAGTGTGTAGCCCTCTCTGTGTCTGATGGGTGTTGG